GAGAGCTGAGGCCTGCCCGGCCCAGTGGTGGGTGGCCCCAGCGATCACCACTCTCAGTGTTTTGACACTCTGGAGCACTAGGAGGCACAGATCAGGAGCAGCAGCTCAAAGTCACGCTTTCCTGTTCTCCAAAAGAAATGCTGAAGCTCCTACACCTCTAAATTCCAGCGCTTACATTCAAAAATCCAGGTTGACATTTTCTAATTGCTTAGAGTAAATAACTAAGGTTTCTACTGAGTTTCTGAAAGAGGCAGCTGGCACTGTGCCATCCATGTTTTGACCCCATCCCTAACTCCTCTGGCCATATTTTATAACTACTCATTATTATCATTATTACTTTGGTCTTTTTGAAACAGGGTTTCTCTCTGCAGCCCTGACTGTCTTAGAGCACACTCTGTAGACCAGGTTGGCCTCGAACTCAGAGATCCCACCTGCCTCTGCCTCCTGATGGCTGGGTTTAAAGGCATGGGTCACAGCCTAGCTACAACTATCCTTTATTAAGCACTACTTATAAGTCAGGCACTGTGACAAATATCGTGTCCCTAATCCTCAGAAAAATTTTGCCAGCTCCTATTACTCTTCCTTATTTTTTCTTTAACACTCTTCCTTATTCTTATCACTTACAACCAACAACAGCTTAGCTAGGGAAGTCTTCACTGATCAAGGATGGCAGAGTCGGGTGGATTTGTTTTGTCCGGCTCATGCCCTTTCCATCACAGAAGGCTCTGACTGATTCACTCCCCATCACACAGCTTCTTACGTCTGTCCACCATCCAAGGCCATCAGCTGAAGTGGCAGAAGCTAAAGCAACAAGAAACACCAGACCCTCACACCAAAGGCTGAGACAAGAGGAGGGAGGGAGGGAGGAAAGAAACAAACATCACTAAGAACCTAATTTAGTGAAAAGGGTACTTTACCATTTATTTATGAAACCAGGTCTCAGTAAATGGCCCACACTGCCCTCTAGTTCAAGACTTTCCGGACCCGATCTCCCAGGTTCTGGGATTCCAGGCGTGCACCACCACACCTGACAACTCTGACAATGTTTTAAATAAACAATTACTTCATGTTGCTAAGGAAAGGTCTTTTCATGGATCCATCTAAATGGACATTTAATGGGGCATTAAAATTATGCATACTGGACAACAGTCATCCAAAGCACAGGTGAAATCCCTATGACATTAAATCCCAGCTGCCCCTCCAGTGCCCAGCTCAGTGCCTAGCATAGAGAAGGCATTTAAAAGAAATATTTTAAATTAATAAAATTACCAGAATGCAATTTATCATCACTGGCCTGTCCTCTGCTCTGGGACCCTGCCAGTCAACAGAGCTCATCATACCTCCCCAGCTTCCCTCCTGCCCTATCAGGTTCCCCAGGCAGCAGGGCCACAGCTCCGCCCTTGCCTGTGGTGGTGGAAACAAAACGTATCAGTGTCACACACGATCAAGTAGTGAGTCCAAGATAAACAAAGCCCTGGCAATTTGGCCTTTCCAACCAGATCTACATCCCACTCCTTGGCAGAAGCCTAAAGCCACAGCCTTACTATGACCCCTTCCTCCTCACACCGCCACACCCAGGAAATCAGAAACAGCTCTCCCTCCATGGCGGGTCTACTATACCTACTGTATTTAAAGCCAACAGGCTTTCTTCTCCCAGGAACACACAGCTTAGGTTGGTTACATGACACCATGTCTCAAAAAAAAAAAAAAAAAGGCTTCAGCATGTATCATTAAAAGTTTACGTTCCAGGGCTGGAGAGAGGGCTCAGAGGTTAAGAGCACTGGCTGCTCTTCCAGAGGTCCTGAGTTCAGTTCCCAGAGACCACATGGTGGCTCACAACCATCTATCGTGAGATCTGGCGCCCTCCTCTGGCCTGCAGGTGCACATGCAGACAGAAGACTGTAGACATAATAAATAAATCTTTTAAAAAGCTTACGTCCTCAGAAGGTGCACAGAACGTGTGCACATAGGGGAAGTCACCCATACTTAGGAAGCACGTTCTCTCACACTCCTCTATCTTCTGGACAAGTCACTTTCCTTTTTGTTTTGTTCTGTTTTGGTTTTTGTTTTGTTTTGTTTTTTGATACAGGGTTTCTCTGTGTAGCCTTGGCTATCCTGGACTCACTTTGTAAACCAGGCTGGTCTTGAACTCACAGAGATCTGCCTGCCTCTGCCTCCCTGAATGCTGGGATTATAGGTGTGCACCGCCACAGCCAGCTCTGGACAAGTCACTTATCCTTGCTGGGTTTACTTCCTCCATCAAAAGTGAGGGGTTGAAGCCAGACACTGTGATATACCCCTTTAATTCCAGCCCTGGAAAGCAGAGGCTAAGAAATCTCTACGACTTTGAGACCAGCATAGTGTACATATCAAGTTCCAGGACGGCTAAGACTATACATACTGAGACCTTGTCTCAAAAGAAAAAGAGAGAGAGAAAAGGAGAAAAAAGAAAAGAAAAGAGTGAGGAGAGGAAAGGAGGGGAAAGGAGGGGAGGGGAAGGGGAAGGGAGATAGGAGAGGAGCAGAGAAGAGGAGAGGCTGGACTATAGCAAGGATTACTCCGTGTATCCCAGGATGCTTTGAGAGACTCGGGTGTGTGTATTAGGCATTCATAACTGCCACAAATTTCTATAAGAAATTACCAGAGGAGGTATTGTGGCGCATACCTTTAATCTCAGTACTCAGGAAGGCAGAGACAGGCAGATCTCTAGGAGTTCAAGGCCAGCCTGATCTACAAAGTGAGTCCAGGATAGCCAAAGCTACACAGAGAAACCCCATCTCAGGAAAAAAAAAAAAAAAAAAATTACCTGAAGCTAGGCATGTGGCAAATGCCAATTACTGCAGCACCTGAGAGGCTAATACAGGAAGATCATTAAGTCCAGGTTACCTTGGCCTACAAATGAGGGAGGCACTGTCTTAAGAGAGAGAGAAGAGAGACAGAGACAGCAAGAGAGAAAGGTCAGCAAGCTGGCTCAGCAGGTGTTTGCCATGCAAGCTTGATGGCCTGACTTTGATCCCCAGACCCATATAAGTGTGGAATGAAAGAACTAGCTTCCCAAAGCTGTCCTGCACCTCCCTGCACACCCACAGCACACACATACTCAGTAATAACAAATAATTTTCTTTTGTTGTTGTTTGCTTTTTTTCCACATGGGTTTCTCTACGTAACAGCCCAGGCTCTCCTGGACTTGCTTTGTAGACCAGGCTGGCCTCGAACTCACATTGATCTGCCTGCTTCTGCCCCCCTGGGTGCTAGAATTAAAGGTGTGGACCACCTACCCGTGACACAAATAACCTTTTTGTTGTTGTTTTGGTTTTTTCGTTTTGTTTTTTCGAGACAGTATTTCTCTGTGTAGCCCTACCTGTCCTGGAGCTCACTCTGTAGACAAGGCTGGCCTCAAACTCAGAGACCCGCCTGCTTCTGCCTCCCCAATGCTGGGACTACATGCATGGACCACCGCGCCCGGCACAGAGCCATTTTTTTTTTATAATTTATTAGGTGTTCAGCATGTAAGTCTGCGAGGGTGCTGGGTCCTCTGGAAGTGGAATTACAGACAGTTGTGAGCTGCCATGTGGGTCCTCTGGAGGAACAGCCAGTGCTCTTAACCACTGAGCTATCTCTCCAGGCCCCCCATAACCATTTTTTAAACACCGTCAGTACATATGATTTTTTTTTTTCCCAGACAGGTCTATGACTGGTACTAAACTGTCACACAAGTTGTAGAAATAGAAACAGCCTGTGTCCTACTGAGCGCTTATTTTGTGTGTGGCTATGAAATAGGTGTTTACATGTAACAACTCTATAGTCCTAAACCTTCTTTAGGCTGTCTCGCCACACAGTCCAAGCTGACTCCAGGCTGGCCTCAGAAGCCCACTCCTCCTGCCTCAGCCCCCGAAATGTGAGGGCTGCAGGCATGCGCCGCCACAACACCTTCGATAATCTTTGCAGTCTATCTATACTAGTTCTACGCTCCATTTGAAGACGACGAAGGTAACTGAGAGCGTGCTCTGGGGGCAGCGCTTGAGCCCACGAGTGGATGATGCAGCTAGCCAAAGGCTGTATCTGGGATCTCGCTGGAAAAGCCTAAGATCGTATGAGCCAGTGCCAGCCAGGAAGAGGATGTCGGCAAAAGAGTCTCACAGACTTTTTGCCAAACACTATGAGAAAGTCTGAAAGGATTCACCAACCCAAGTCCTGACTAGCAATACACACGCAGACACACCCTCCCCGCCTCGTTCACCACCAGGCACCGTGCCGCTAAACAACTACTGAGACCACCTAAACCAACAGCCATCACCAAGGCCAGGCCGGAAAAAGGAGAGAAAACGAACGGCACGCCAGCTCCCAATTCCTGCAGTGGCCAGCTCTAAGAGGCGGCCTCCCGCGTGGAGACCCGGAGTCCTTCAGACAGAGCTCAGAGTTGTTTAGCCAGCCAGCCGCTCACGCCCCAAACCCCGGGCCGACCGAACCGCTTCCCAGAAGGCGACCAGGCACAAGCGGCCACTGCCTGTCAGAAAACAAACACCCCCCACGGCACCTGAAAGGGAAGGCTGCCGAAACTTTATCCCCACGCCGCTGACCTTTCTCCCATCAGTCTGCGGAAGGAGAAGAAAGCAGACAGAGAAAGGAGGGAGGCCGAAAGCACGGCGCGCCGAGCCCCGGGTGGAGGGCTACCGTCTTCTCGAGGGTGATGCAACAGGGTCGGACGGAGGGGAGGAGCTCGCCTCACGGAGGGGGAGAGCCAGCGCCGGCGCTGCCAGCGAGGGACGGCGGGAACGCGGCCCCCGTGGCCGGGCGGCTCGGGAGGCGGGAAGGGGCCTGGGAGCTGGGGCTCGGGGGGAGCCGGCGGGGCTGGGCGGGCCGGGGGTGGAGGCGGGGGGACCGGCCCGGGCGCTGACAGCGGCCGGCGAGAGTTGAACCGGGGCCGCCGGGGGACGTCCGGGGCCTGACGGACGCCGGGGGCTCGGGAGGGGAGCGGGTCGGCGGGGTGGCGCGCTCACCGGGACAGGTGCTTCAAGATCTGCTTCTTAATGATGCCGGCCATGCCGCAGCCGCGGCCCGCGTGGACGGCAGGCGGGCAGCCGGCCGCGGCCTCCTCGGCTGGGGAAGGGAGGCGGCCCCTCACCTCGCCGCGGCGGCCGCCATGGCGTCCGGTCGCCCCCGCCGCAGCGCCCGGAGTTCCGCCGCGTTCCCCCCGCGCCGCCCGTCCGCGCGGCGCCGCAGCCTCCCGCGG